GCGGCTTGGAAGCCTGAGACAGGAAGATCACAAGTTCAAAGCTAGCCTCAACAAGAACAACGTACTAAGCAACTCAGTGAGAACCCATCTCTCTATAAAATACAAAATGGRGCTGGGCATGTGGCTCAGTGGTTGAATACCCYTAGGTACAATCCCCAGTACCTCCCAACACAAAAAAAAAATTGTGCTCAAAGCAAATGTGATGAAAATTCACAACTCCTAGTTAATTTGCCAAATTTTACTTTTATCAAGGTGGTGGAAATATTGTCCAGTGCTGTTGCTGAGCATCTTTTCCCAATCTCAAACTCAGTGATGTCATGTTAGCAATTTTATATGGGAAATAATGGGAATGTTCACTCATGGAAGTTGGCAAATGCTAGAAATCAGCAAATAGGGAGCTGGAGATTAAATATGTACATCTTTTTGCATTATCTGTCAGGCGTTGTTGCAAGGAACTTATTTATATCAAGACATTTAACACTTAAAGAATCAGTGAAATACATGAATGAATATGGCCACCTAGAAGTTGACTATTTGAGAGGAAAGAAATGTGGATTCTAATTCCAAAGGATTTCCCATATACTGAGATGTGGGAAGTAAAATTAATTTTGATACATTTTGGTGTCAGCACAAGAKAGGTGCTGACTCCTGGGCTGCAGACAAGCAGCCCAAGACTTTGACCCAAAACCTTTTTCACCTTTCCAAGGCCTAAAAGCCCATCTATGCAGGTCTTCCTTACTGCTGGCCACCACAGGACCCAACTTACATTTCTTTTGAAAAATAATTATATTCCTTTACTTCCCCACCCTGAAATATCCATATCCTTAATGTCTTGCTCCCTAACCCTTTCAACTGAAAGAAACAATCTAGTTATGGCTTAACAATTGGGATTTAGTGTATGGCAATGGATTCTGGGCTCGCTCTTGAAAACTCTGTATTTCTAATGGTTGCTAAATACAACAGTGGATCTCTGGGGCTGGAACACCAGACAAATGGAGGGCTAGTGGGAAGATGTTCAGGGGCAGGGAAGAYATTTCTGAGTCATGAACTTCTGCCACTGATTCTGTCTGTATTTAAATAAGTTCTGGGTGTTTAAATCAACCTTGTCCTATATCACCCTGAAGTAGGTTCYAGTGAAAGCTTCTTCTGTGGAGTGGTATGGCTCTTGGCTTCCATGCAGCTGAGTCAAATGATCTTAGATAGATTAATGATACAGACCAATGACWTTCATCTCCCTAGGTCAATGGCATRATAGCAAAGGACTGAATCCATGATRCAWTTAACATTGTTCATGAACTGGATTAAAAATATGTGTTCAAAATAAAACACTACTATTCAAAAGTGACACTGAATCTATAGTTGCCTCCTGCCAGTAACTGGTTCCTTCCAGTGGTGGGTACTAACTACACAATGACTGTCACTAAGGGCCATCAGRATTTTCGTCATGATAAGACTAGACAGGAACTGATCATACACACCAAAAGAGGGCTTGGCTGAGGCAAATATAGCAGCTTCAGATTCCAGAAATACCAACTTTCGGTTATTTCTATATTTTTAAAAAAAWTTTAAATTTGTTTTAATTACTTATACATGGAAGTAGAATGCACTTTCATAATCATCTATAATGGAGTACAATTTCTCATTCTTCTGATGTAGATGATGTAGAATCACATCAGCCATATRGTTACATATGTACATAGGGTAATAATGTCTAAATATTTCCAATTTTTTTGTGTGTGGTGCTGGGGTTGAACCCAGGGCCTTGTGCATACAAGGCAAGCACTTCACCAATGAGCTATATCACCAGCCCTGAATATTTCCACTTTTGATACAGATATAAGAAGAGATTTCAAGGACAGAGAGATGGAAACGAAGTCAAAGAATCAGATTCCACTGTTGTTTTGCCATCTGTTTTCCTCTCAACCATGGTYCCCGTATTTCTTAAAGAATGTCAGAAACACTGCTTGGCTGCAGCCCAAGAGTCAGCAACTCTCTTGTGCTGTCACCAAAATGTATCAAAATTAATTGTACTTCCCCCAGCTCAGGATATGGGGAACCCCTTGAAGTTAGAATCCACATTTCTTTCCTTTCAAATGGCCAACACTGGGCAGTGCTTTGCTTCTGATGGGTGATGATCTTTTCCAAAGAAATGACTTGGAGGATATAAATGAATGGAAAATATGAAGAAAATTGGTGTGTGAAGTGTGAAGAGATAATATCAGCAGGAAAATGCTTGACTTATTCATCATCCTTTCCTTTATCCTACAAAYACTTCCAAAGTGGTGAGCACAGATAAATCTGATAAAAAATCGATTAATTCTACACCAATAGCAAACACCAGCGCCATTGCTCTGGCTGACAGCCGTCTCAGCAAAGGAGAAGCACGCTTTCAGAAAGCCAGAGRAAGGGTGCCTCCTTTAGGAAGGAGGCACCCTGGGGTGGCCCAGGGAGCCTGTGTGAGAACCACGGGGGCCCTCCTCGAGTCTTGTCTCTGAAGCTATCCTCTGAAGGCACCAAATGACCCCACATTGAAATACCTTGTTTTCTTCCACATAGTAAATTTTTTAAAGCTTGACATTTAGAACAAATTAGTAGTTTTTGTTGTTTTCAAGTAAGTGGTACTAGGAACACACCCWTGCTCGTAGTTCACAGACCACAAATGAAGGAAGGTAGTTTGGTAGATGAAAGYGTGTTTACAGAAACAATACGGTAGAAAAATTTAAATTGGCATGTTTTAGAAAATGCTGCATGAGTTATAACTACAAGAACACCTTTATTCCGAGGCCACAGTAACTGCAAGATTTTTACAATTTTACACTCTTATGGAAGAGGAAAGGACAATGGATTTTATTTCATTCCAAGGGGAATATGGAGCACCATGTGTCTTCAGGGATTTTATACTTACACATACATGTGAGCGTTTGTATATATGTGTACATACATATTCATACACATATGTTACCCACATGGGCACCTATGCACACATAAATATTCATACACACATGTAGCAATTGGACCAAGGAATGTACCAGATTTATTATAATCCCTGCCTTCAGACACCTGAATGTTTCTAATATACATGGAACAATTTATTTTTTCTATCTAAAATTCTGCATATTCATTCTCTGAAACCTTTATACTTCCTAAAAGAGTTGTCATTATGCCAATGGAGATTTATCTTATTTTCATGTATATCATTTTTTCTGTAATTCTCATGCACAAGGGGGCCTGATGCTTCACATCCCCACAATGTCCACCTTGTATTCAGTGTGTCCCTGAATCTGTCCTCAGCCTCAGCCTGATTCCTCTCACATCAAGTGCTCTTGAAAACTCCGCAAAAGTCATCATGCATTTCCTCTGATGAGGCTGCCATAGGCCACCATGGAAATGCTCCTCATTCCCACAGGAAATAGCCTGTATTTTTTAACCAGCCTGAGTTTCGTAGGGATGAGGATCATGTGCACCTTCTTTAACTTTTTATCTTGTATCTATTATAGTGCCTGACAAGTAGAGTAAATCTGGTGAAATAAATAAGCAGGTAACTGATTATATAAATAATTGCACACACACATAGAAAATAATTTGTTTTGGTCAATTTTACTTTTCTGTTTAATCCCATGTAACCCAAGCACTCACGGTACATACAGTCATCAATGGTGCACACTCAGTGCAGATAAGCACACTTTAAGAACACATACATGCCCATACTCACAAACGCACAGGAGCCTGGGTGATAGCTCTTGGTCAGAGAACACTTCCTGGCTTCTCTTCCTTGAAAGCAAAGGCCAGGTACTTAGCTTGTATGGAAACTCCTGAGCTGACTCCCAGGTTCTGGGCTACCTACAGAGTTCCTATAGCTTATAGGGATTGTGGGATGCACTTCGATGGTGGGTTATGACAGCTTCAGGCCAGATATCACAGCACTGAAAATCACTGTAGTTAGTATTCAGAGGCACAAAGGAAAAATCCAAAGAAACTGGACAGTGGCTTCCCATCCAGCCAGGTACTCTGCCGCCTCCTCCCTGAACTGCTTTCGAGAGCCTGGTGAGGTCTCTGGTGCTCAGGATAATGCCTCATGAAGGCCTTTCAGCCTCTGYATCTGTCCCCGCAGGACCGCCTTCACTGCCTCATTGCGGAAGGTAAAGATAAAGGGGTTGAGGAAGGGGGTGAGGATGGCGGTTACCAAGGCGACCACCTTATTGACTTCCACCGAGTGTGCTTTGCCAGGCCTGATGTACAGGAAGATGGTGCTGCTGTAGCCCATGAAGACCAGGGTGAGGTGAGAGCCACATGTGGAGAAAGCCTTCTGGCGGCCACTAGCCGAGGGAATGCGCAGCACAGTGCTCACAATGTAGCCATAGGAAATGAGAGTCACCAGGAAGGAGCTGAGGACAAAGGCCAGGGCCATGATGAAATCCCAGATTTCCAGCAGGTGGGTGTCAGAGCAGGACAGCTGCAGAAGAGGTGCATTGTCACAGAAGAAGTGGTTAATGACGTTGCCATGGCAATAGTTGAGAAGAGCTCGGGAGAGGACAGTGGGTACCATAGCTAGGAATGGAGTTGCCCAGGCGGCCCCAGCCAGTCGGGCACACATAGCCCAGCTCATCAAGGTTCCATAGTGCAGTGGGTGGCAGATGGCCACAAAACGGTCCAGGGCCATATCTGCCAGAATGAGGAAGGAGGTGGAACCCAGGGAAAAGTAGAAGTAGAACTGGACCATGCAGCCAGTGAAGGAGATGACTGCGTGAGAGGCCAGCAGATTGGAGAGCATCCTGGGAACCACAGTCATGGTCACCAAGGTCTCCAGCAGGGAAAAGTTTCCCAGGAAGAAGTACATGGGAGTATGCAGGTGAGTGTCAGCTATAACCATGACTATGATGAGGGTGTTTCCCAGGAAGGCGATGAGATACAACATGAGGAAAGGTCCATACAGGAGAACCTGTAGCTCACCAAAAGAGGAGAAGCCCAAGAGCACAAATTCAGTGTGGCTCAGATTCGCCATGATCCAGGGCTTGTATCTCTGTATGTAAGAGAAACAAGAAACCCAGATGGAAAGAGGAACCAGGGACCCTGACACCATGGACCAGAGATAGGCAGGAACAGAGACAAGGAACAGGAAGAGGAAGGCAAGGAGTCAGCTGGTGATAAACAGGAGGACATAGAGCAAACGCAACAGAACAACAAAGGGAATAAGAGAATCACCCAGAAACAGGGAGCAGRGAAGGTGTGGTGAGCCGTTGATAAGGGGAGGGAAATCAGGAACAGAGCAAGAAAGAAAGCAGAGCAACAGACACTGACATTTAGAGAGAGAACAAGAAGGAAATAAAAGGGAAATAAACAGACAAGGAATCGAGGATCACCAAATATGGGGGGGGGGAGGCAGAGAGAGATGAGGAGACATGGAAGGAAAGAGGGAAGATTAGGGTAAATCATCCAGAACCCCATGGAGGTTGGTGCTGGGACCCTGTGCCATTCCCCACAAGCTCTGCACCAAAACCCTTTGAAAGGACCCCTGGAAATCTCTGCACTGTCTTCTGAAGACTCTCACTTGTCCACATCTTACAACTATGGCCTTCACTTGTCCTCCCTTTACAGCTATGACCTTGAAATTAGCAGAAAGCCAGTGTTTGGGGTTAATAAATTAGTTTTCCTTGGTTGCCCTCTGGTATGTGCTTACACACATTGAAGAGAGAAAGGACACAAGAATCTGGGGGATACCCATGGCATCCAGGCAGCGGCTCTCGCAGTGCCTGCCAGATCCTCAGGGATGTTCCTGATGGCCTTCTTTGCTACTGTGGTGTCCCTTCTCTTTCCCTTCATGGTACAGAGCATGTGCTATGGGCAGGTGTTTTGTAGCTGGGGCAGGGGGGACTATCTGTGTTGAATTCTGCATCCAACTCTTACTTACTGTGGACCAGAAAACTGATTCTCTTTTATTGACTTCTTCAATGACTCTTTCCAGGGACAAAATGAAGATAGGGTTWCTGTAAATACTAGGGTTACTGTAAACATTAAATAGGTAAGTCACTTGATACAGTCATTTACATGTACTGTACTAAGAATTCAACAAATAAATGTTGGGTCTTTTTTTCATTGTTCTTAATTTAATCATTGCTAATGAAGCTTAAATTTGCTTGGTCCATCAGCTCTCCATACTGCCTTAGTGGCGATGTGTGTGTGGTGTACAATGTTAGATACTAAAAGGATACTGTGAAACATTTCAAACCCCAAAGCATATAAGCATCAACAAGCCTATCAGGAGTGGAGACAGCAAAGCTGTATACAGGTAACTCTTCTCCTTTCCAGGCTCCCTAAAAGCTTCATCTGAGGTGGTGTCCCAGAAACCTAGAAATAGCATTCCAATTTAAAGAAGGCTTCTACCTTTGTCATTGACAAACCTTAACAGTAAGTCAATTCTACACCCAGCATTGACCAAATCCAAAATCARTCCTGAGTCTGTGCTAATGGGAACCTGATGGATGTACAAACAAGCCACTCACCTTAGCCAAAGAGCTGAGTCTTCTCCTTGTGCTTCTCTCATTTAGACACCTATGCCTGGAGTCTCCTGACTAACAGGTTCACTCTGTGACATGGGTAACATAAGATATGCCATCCTTGCCCTTTATTGGCATCTTGAAGCAGGCAGGGTAGCACAGGGCTTCATGCATRGCTGGGCGGGGAAGGCACTGCTGGTAGAGTGAGTCTGTGAACCAAATAACACCAGRGCTTATGTTGGTCTCCAAATTCAAGTTTAGCCTATCTCACTACAAAGCTCAGGTGGGAAGTGGGGACAGTGGTGTGGGTCTGGGAGAGGGGAAAGAAGTGCTTTGAGAGATCAGAGAGGAAAAGRGCTGTTTCTTCTCTCCCGAGGATGTGTGTTCTTGGTTCTATCTGCCAGTCTCCAGAACCTTGGGTTCTTGATGCTGGTTAGAACTGAGCTCATGCTGGATGGGAGCTTGCTCTCCAGTAGAGCGTTCTCTGTGGGAATGAGGGGAAGGAAGGAGCCTCCTGGGACTGCTGAGATGCAGGTGATGCTCCTTAGGTTAATGAGAGTCCCCATGCCAAGGTGATCTGAGTGAAGACAGGGTAGAAGGGCTTAGACTCAGTTCCAAGGCAATGCATACCTCTTGGCAGTTTCTTTCCWCCTGGGACTATGGAGAGAAAATGAGGATACAGTGAAAAGTTACAAAGGATTTTCCCCCATAGGAGTGAAATTTGAGCAAATTGGGTAAATGGCTAGGGCTAGATTTAGAATTTCCATTTGGAAATTTGGCTCCTTCCCAGATCCAGGTATGTGGGATCTAGGGAGATAGGGCATAGAGGTTCTGAACAATGGTGCCCACGTTTTTAGTTCTCCCAAGTGTTATTTGAAGAAGTTTGGTGATCAATACCRTAACTGTGGAGGAGAACTCTATAATGTTGGTTGGTTGGGAAAGAAGTATATGTGATCTTCTGAACTCACCTCTTTTTATTGGTAGTGAAGGGAGAAGGAAAGGATTGGATGACTGACTCTAGGTGTTTGGATCCTTAATTTCTTTGTATGCTGCAGGAATCCTCTGTTTTTATGGTGGGCTTGGGCTCTGAAAGCTTCACATTGCTGCTCTGACTCCTTACATCTCTTGTTTTTCTGCATCCAATCTCCAACTTTCTCCTGCACATCTCTGCATATTTTCATTGCTGGCAGAGAGTGGGAGTTGACCTCCTTGCCTCYAGCAAGCTAACAAATCAGGGTAGGGTTCTGTCATCCTTGCTAGCATGAATCTTAGGATAGGAGGTAAACAAAACCCCAGTTTATGGGAGAAGAGGTGACTTTCTAGTTATCTTTTGCTACCTTCAAACAGTGGTTTAAGACTCAGTGACTTTATTWTGTCTCCCAATTATATTCCATTGATGCTACATGTCTACCAATCATTGCCCAGGAACCCGACTCTGCTCATGATTATTGCACAGGGCCCATGCTGATGGAAGCTCCATTTTAACACACTCTTCCATGACCCTTTGAAAGAAAGAGAATGGTGAATTGAAAGCTGGTCCTTCAAGCTTATTCTTAAAGTGATTTGTGTCACTTCCATCCATAGCTCTCTGGCTCAGGCAAGTCCTCAGAAGGACAGCAGTGATGGGTGAACAATAACTAAGCATTGCAGAATTTCTTTTCTTTCCTTTATTTTTTTGAAATTTTCTCTTCTTTGTGATTTTTAGGTTTGACTTACCAAGTAATATAGATAATTTCCGTTGCCCAGTCTCTGTCATTGTTGAGCTAAGAATATTTGAAATGGTCATAGCATTAGCATGCTTTCTCCCTCTGTCCTTCTCGGTCCCCTATGTCCTCCTTCTTCCCTCATTCAGGTTGTCCTGGACACATGTATTGCATTGACAGAATATCTGGAACAACCCTAACCTTGGCCTGACACCCTATGCTTCCAAAAATCTAAATTCCAGGTGGTTCAACATAACATGTAACAAATGAGAATTTTTCCTTTTTAATTAATTTAGGAAATGAATATAGGCTTTTTCTAAGGAAAACACAGATCCCAAGAGACTAAAAACCTGTGAAATGTAAATGCATAAGAATAAAATATTTATACTTGATAAGAACAAAATGTAAAAATTAAAAACATGTGAAGTAAGGTTTATTTCATTTACACACAAAATCATCTTGAAAACCAGTAAATTCATTAAAGAGGAATATAAACATTTCTATAAATTAGAAAAGGCATTTTACATTGTTCACAATTAAAATTAAAGAAAACTTAAGCCAGGCCCTGTGGTACAGGTCTACAATCCCAAGAACTTGGAAGGTCCTGGCAAGAGAATCACAAGTTCAACTTAGTCAGATTCTGTCTTGAAACACAAAATAAAAAAGGGTTGAAAATAAACCAGAATATTTTTTGAGTAACTGTGGCTTTTGACAGGGTGTTGGAGTGTTGGAGCACATTCTTACACTAGTGATGAAGGGGATTCATAGACCATATTTGATGAAGACTGGTGTTACCATACATTATACAAACATGCACACACACACACAGTTACAATTAGGGAATCATTTTGAAAAGGAAAGTGGGCAGTTGGAATAACCCCCATTGTAGTATAAAGGAGATGTGAGGGTGTGGGCGTTTACACCCCTGCACCAATAAGGCCTTGCAAGCCCACYGTCTCTGATGAGGGGCTGTAATATTGGGGAGCATTCCTCTTTGGGGTTGATTTTGGGGAGATCCTCAAGTGTCCTCCCCCACAGTAGCATCCGCCCTGGCAGGGCACCTGCATGTGTCTGCCCAGGTCAGGAGAGGCATCTGCAGGAGAGTGATATTTCCTGGTGTCTGCAGGTGCTTAGGCAGAGCTGGGTGGGAGACAGATGAGCCCTCCAAGGGAAGGAGGGGTGTCAAAGCCCTGGGAGGGACAAGGAGAAACTAGGTGTTTGAGGGCAGCATGGGGTAGCAGGGGAATGAGAYGATATAGAGAGAGAACATTTAAACAGGATTTGGGGCTTTAGGCAGAGGTCAGTGAGAGAGATTTGAGTCATGGGAGGGACCTATTCTGAGATGTGTTTTAGAAGCTCACTAGGCCTGCTATGAGAGGAGAGCAGACAGAGGGAGGCAAGGTTAGACATGAAGGTCAGGCAGGAGGCTTTGGTGACCGTCAAGTGAAAGATTCCTTCTCATTTYCTCTTTTATGGACAAAGAACCTCTATGTGGAGTAATGGCTTTATCTATAATAACGCATACTTTATCTATAATAATGCTTATTGGGGCAATAACACTGTCTTTTTCACTCCGTCACCARAGTGGCTTTTCCTTTCCCTGGACAAGATGACTTCTCTTTCACCTGGGTTCCCAGTGGAAAGCTGAACATAGACATGATGATCTTGGCATTAACCTTGTTCACCAAACAGTTTCATCTACCTGTGAAATCAGTAACCTAGGATGGGTTCATGCACTGGATCAGGTGTGGCATGTAATAGTCTTTGAAGATATTCAGAGAGAAGTGGGGTTTTGACAAAGAAGTTGGCTTTGAGGAGAGTTGTA